ACGTGGACTTCAACTCCCAGAATTCCCCAGTCAGCTATGCCGGGAGATGAAGTCCACGTATCTTAAAGTTGCTAAGGTTGGGAAACACTAGTTTACCCTTTGTTTTCTTTGCCATTTCAGCAATGGCGCGATTCAAATTATTTTATTACCGGTTCTGTGGGCAAGGCTTGGTGGGCATGGTGTGGCTTGGTGGGCGTGGCTTGGTGGGTATGGCAAGGGAAGGATACTATAAAATCTCCATTCCCTCCCAACTCCTGGGGGAAGGTTATTGCAAAAACCCATTCCTTCCCCACTCCACTAACCTGCTTTCCAGCTCCATTCTCCTGTGCAAGGCAACAAAAGAAGACCCAGCCAATCAGCTGGGACTCAGGAGGCAGAGAATAGAAGGGGGCGGGGCCAGCCAGAGGTGGTATTTGCCGGTTCTCCGAACTACTCAAATTTTCCGCCACTGGTTCTCCAGAACTGGTCAGAACCTGCTGAATACCACCTCTGCATTTCAGGAAAGGCTATATGCTTCTTTTTCTCATAATGGCTGGTGCAAAATGAAATGAAAATTCTGATGTTCACTGAGTCCCACATGGAGAGCAAACTTTGGAACTTAGTAGGGAATTTCCTTTCCATTTCTTGTTCCTGATTCTATAGGACCCTGAACAAGTGATAAACCAGTACATCCTCTTCTTGTTATCCTTACATCTCAGGTTTTTGTTCACAGAGCAAGCATAATACTTTGGATTTGGGGCACAGCAATTGAGATTTGCACTCTGCACAGATGAGCAAGCCCCAATACTAGTATGGGCACTTCTAGTTTGGTTAGCTGTGATTCCAAATAATCACAGGCAAAAGCATTAGGAAAGCCAGTTGACAATTGATATGCCACTACTCTCATTCAGGCAAATGCAGGCTGGTCTGATGAGTGTATTATTTCAATTAAAAACCGATCCAAGTGTCCCCATGAAGAGAGAGGCATCTGTTCTTGACAAACCCTGCATAGACTTGTAATATTCATTTCCAAATATTATTTGTATCCCTTATGATCACCTCTACAGCCACTGAACATGAAACTAGCTTGTTATCACAGAAGTAATTTATCTGGTTTTGGGTTTTTTTGGCTAGCTGTGTACTGAAATATCTTCCAATGTGCTTAATCCAAACAATACAATCTGTCCATCTACAATTCAGTATTGTCAGCTTAAATAGGTTGTATCTGCAGTATTTCTAAGCAATCTTGGACCAGAATTTGAGTTAGCTTTGCTGTTCCAATTTGGCACTGGTTTCTAAGGGATCCATACATCTGGGCCCTTCTATTTAGAAGTCCCTACAATGTATGAAAGACTTAGAACCTCTTTCATCAATAGATATAGATTTAGAAATACTGTAGATAATACCATTCTAGCATTCTATCTGGATTTTGTTGTCTAAGAGGCAACTGCAAGTCAATGTTGTGGTTCGCCGGCAGCCGGTGCAGACGACAGAGGTATCGGACAGTGAAGACGAACGGGAACCAGTCAGGGAGTTTGGAGAGGACTTGGACAAGGATCCTGTGTCCGATGCAGAGATGGGGCCAGGACCATCTGGGAGTGGGGTGCTGCCTTTGGAGCTTTCAGAGTCTGGCAGCAGCGAAGCAGAGGACCCTGGGGAGCCTGTTCCCAGTGTGCGTATGCGCAGAGCTGCTAGAAGGCGAGAGCAGCTGAAGCAGAAGGGGTGATTCGGGAGTAAGGCTATGAGGTGATTGCCCCTCCCATAAGGGATAAAAGCAGGGGTGGGATTCTACCAGTTCTTAGAACCGGTAGCTCTGAAGAGCAGCAGACATAGAACCGGTTCTATGTCTGCTGCTGTTTTGGCCCACCTGGGCTCTTACCTGACCTTGATTTCCTGGTTCTTCACTCACAGCTGCTTTGCGTGGCACAGCTGTGGTTGAAAAAGCAGGAAAAAAGTGTCCAGGCTGCAAGCTGACAATGTTTCACACCCATGCACAGTGTGCGTCAGATGTGCGCATGTGCGTGCAAAACATAAATCACTGAACCAGTAGTTACACTGGTCGGATCCCATCTCTGGATAAAAATCAGACCTCAATGACGAAAATTTTGCAAGAAGCAAAGCAGTTCAATATATTCGGAGTCCTTCTTGAAGCTCTTCGTATTCTGGTCATTTTTTTCTAGTAGTTATAATTACTTTGGAGACTTCTATTTTTGGCAGCATTCCACAGCACTGACAGGCCTGTGCTTATCTTGGAGAACTGTTTAAGTTAGTTTTGGCTGTGAATGAAAATAATTCCCATCGTTGCATTAAAATAGGTTTTGCTTTTAAAACAAGTTTGTGTTTCATTACGTTTGACGAAGCCTGGGTCAGAACAATCAACCAATGGTAGTTCAACCAGTGCTAGGTCTTTCATGCCAATTTAACTAGATACTAATGTAGGACAATTGCTACTACTATGACGATATTTGGATTTGCATGCATGCAGTAATGGGCTCTGTGTGCCTGTGTTCTCCATAACAGAATAAAATGTAGGCAGTCTCTAGTGAAGAATATTCTTCAACAAGATATTTTTCTTGTTCCTCAAAAAGGACCTGAAGAGGAAAAAAAGTAAGGAAAAGAAACGACTCTGCATAAAGCCTTTTCTGTCATGATTGTATTCCCAACCATCGGGAAGAGCCATAGAAAATAGAATGAATCTATAGCGTGCAGATCAAGCAAAAGGAGTATATGTGAGTAAACCTAGGAGCACCACTGTTCTCCCCGCTGCATTCTGAATCAATTCTAACTGCTGAGTAGTCTTCAAAGGCAGCCACATGTAGATCGCATTGTAATAATCCCAAATGGGAACTGATGAAGGCTTGAGAGACCATGAGCAACACTTCCTGGTCCAGGGAAGGGGCACATAGATGGCACATAAGTCAAATCGTTACAAAGGCTCCCCTGGTCATGGACGCCACCTGCTCCCCAAGCAGGAGATGTGAGTCTAGGAGAATCCCCAAATTGCACACCAGCTCAGTCCTAGCGAGTGCCAGAGGTTAAATATCACCTGAGCCTAGAGCAGAGATCCCCAAACTTGGCAACTTTAAGGCTTGTGGACTTCAACTCCCAGAATTCTCCAGCCAGAGCTGAGGTCCACAAGTCTTAAAGTTGCCAAGCTTGGGGACCCCTGGTCTAGAGGGTCAAAAACCCAGAGCCACTTTGCCTTGCCATGGTTGAACCAAAGCCACTGTCTCCCCATCCAGTCCCTTACAACATCCGGGCTCAGGGCCTACACTGCAACAGCATCCTTTGCCTAGTTAGGGGTGGAGGGGTATAAGCACACCTCACATAACCTCCCCTAGAAGTTTCGTGTATGTTAAATAGGAAGGCGAAAGACTGGAGCCCCAGGACAGCTCACATTCGAGGGCCTGAGCTTTGACCTCTCCTCCCCCAACCCAAATTGGAACATGGAGGAAGGAGGAGGAAGAAGAACCACTGAAGTTCAGTGCCTCCCACCTTGAACCCCTAAAGCTGGACCAGGATACAATGGTCAATAATATTGAGTTGCTGAGACGTCCAGAAGGGTCAGAATGATTGCACCGCAAGTGTAACCAATGCCTTTTCAGTGTTGTGCCCCAGCCTGAACAAATCGGTAACTGCTTCATCCAGGGTCCTTTGTAACCGCGTGACAAACTCTCTCATAACCTTCCCTAAAAAGAGAAGTTGGACTGTTCTGTCTAGTTGAAGTCTGGACCAAAAGCACTGTTGGGCCCCAAGGATGGCCTCTTGAGAAGGGGGCTCACCAATGTTTCCTTCTCAAGAAGCAAGTGGCATGAACCACCACTTGGACCCAACCTGTAATGGAATGGAGAGCTGGCACAACCATGTAGCACTTCCCAGGTGGCCTTGATCATGCAGGAATGAGCCCAGGTGGCCAAGCTGACAGTCACAAGGGTCCTGTCCACTTCCTCAGGAATTTTTCGGCTGTGTCTTTTATATCAAGAAGAGCTTTTGTTTATGCTAGCTGAATGTTGAAAGTCACTGTTGATTCATATTAGTTTGGGAAGCAGACATTTCCAGAACTGACAAAAGGGCTGCACATTGGCAATGGAGAAATCATTGCCAAGGCATTTTGGAGTTCAAGATGATTTTTCAATACCTGGAATGTACATCTCCTTGGGAGCTGAAACCATACTTAACCTTTGTGGAGTACCTCAGATACACCCTCCACACACAAACACTCCACATATTGGGCCCTTGCCTTGGGCTCAGCTCGGTTATCTCCAACAATAATTTCTTTTTAGGACTATTGGAAAAATACATTCAAGACGGGGTAGGATGTGTATGTGTGAAGGGAGTATTTAATCCTTCCTGAATCTGTGTAACACGGCTTTAATCCAGACATTCTGACATGCACCAGTACTTTCATACATCATGCTAAGCCACTGACCTGATTTTCATCTAGCATGATGTAATTCCATCTAATACTTAACTCTGGATATTGGGCTGAAGGCTGACCACAGTACTGGTTTTACAGGAATGGGTTACATATATGATAAAATCCAGGTCCGTTTTATTTTCCAGCACCAGAGTTTTTTTCTGGGGAGGACAGTTCTGTAAGTGTGATAGTGGCTCATCAGCTACTACCGTAATATTTTCCACCACCACTCCCATTCTTTTCTGAATGAAGTCTAACAACTTTTGAAATCGGGAGTGGGGCCTGGGTGGGAAGAATCGGTATTGGAATGAAACCTCTTCACACATTTGAGTTGAACAAGATGGCTAAGCAGGCTTGAGCTGCCATTAAAGCAGCAGAAGGAAAAAGCACCAGAAAGCAAATAGCTGAGAAAGTCCAGCTTTTCTGTATCCTAAAACTGGGACATTCTGATCAACAAAAAAAGTGACACATGTGTTCCAGTCTTCTTTCTCATTTATTAAGGCTGATGTCAGACAAATACTGTATAGAACATTTAGATTGTTTTCTCTTAACAAGAGGTTTTCCTTTTAAAGAAAACTTCAAAGCCATGTTATTCACTTGAACTCTGTTAAGAACTATTCTCTTTGCATAGCAAATTTTGCTTTATCGCTCATTACCAGACAACTTTGCAGAACGCAGCATGCCAACTTACAATATTATTCTCACGGAGGGAAAAAGTAGTCAGGTATTGTCAAGTGGCAGGAAATCTATATTAACATTAAATATTCAGATGAAATATATGTGGCTTTCTCCATTTACTGTGAAACAAGTTTTTGAAGGCACTAGAAAATATTAATAAAAGCCACTGAGAGTCCTTTGTAGGAAAGTCCAGAGATATATTTTGGAGCATTATTACTACATTCGCTGTCTTGCAGATAACAGGCAAATCCCCTCGTGCCAATTTTCACCTCCTTACTGCGGATAATTCTCAACTATCATTGCATGGCCCTGCAGCAAGAGAAGAAGTGAAGAGAGAAGAAAGAAAAATGAACATTGGGAAAGTAGGGTTACAAAAGGAAACCTTGCCACGCACAAGGGCGACTATGGCCATGCTACACTGAGTCTAGAACCAATTTTGTTCTGCTGATTAAAGGACTAGGTTAGAAACTAGGAGACAGTCTTGCCTTAGGCATAAAACCTCGCTGGGTGACTCTCTCTCAGCCCAATACACAGAGTTATTATTGTGGGCAAAATAGGAGGAGAAAGGAGTACAGGTAGTCCCCGACTTACAATTATTCATTTAGTGGCCCTTCAACACTGACAAAGAGTGACTTATGACCAGTTTTCATACTTATGACTGTTGTAGCATCCCCATGATCATGTGATCAAAATTTGGACATTTGGCAACTGGCATTACTTCATGACAGTTGCATTGTTCCAGGGCCATATGATCACCATTTGTAACTTTTCCAACTGGCTTCTGACAAGCAAAGTCAATGGGAGGAAGGCAGATTTGTTTCACAACTACATGTTTCACTTAACAATCGCAGTAATTCGCTTAACAATTGATTAAAAAAGGTTGTAAAATGGAGCAAAACTCATGTAACAATTGCCTTGCTCAGCAACAGAAATTTTGGGCTCAATCGTGATTGTAAGTTGTGGACTACCTGTATTAGGTATATTTGCCACCTTGAGTTATTTATAAAAATAATAAAGGTAGAATATAAATAAATAAACAAATATATAAATAAACAAATATATAAACAAACGAATACAGATTGCTCATCGTAGGGTTCTTACCTGTCCTCCAGCAGCACATGCTGCCACTAAGGCATATTGTCCCCCTTCCTTCTTCAACCTGTGGGCAGCTGTGATTACTAAACGGCAGCCAGTAGCACCGAAAGGATGCCCTAAGGACAGGGATCCACCCCAGTTATTAAATTTGTCCAGAGAAGGAGCTCCAACCTATTAATAGGAGAACAGTAAATGAGACTTAGGCTCTGAAATAAATTATCTAATTTCACCTATGAAAGGAAGAAAGTTACAAAACATAAGCTTGAAAGACAACCACAGTAGGTAAGATATCAACTCAGCTGATGTTTGCCAGGTGACTGCTTCAGCCACTGTAACATCACTAGAGAAGGATAAGTCTGCTCACATGTGGCAAACACTGGACCTCAGAAAGGAGTAAAGACAACTATAAACAGGATGCCTCTAACTTCCACCATGCCCTCTATGAAGTTTCTGGGAAAGGTTAACAGGGAAAATAAGATAAGCTGCATGGAAACCTGAGAACAGGAAGGACAAAATACAGAAAGATCATGGATATACAAATTCACAGGTAACCTTAACCTTACCTTTGACTTTCTGCCCATGTAGTTCTGGGCAAACCAATCTGAATCCAGGGCTTTGAGATTTGCTAAAATTTGTCCCTACAATGGAAAAGAAGGGAAGATTCCATTACAGCATTAATATAGTCAAAATACATGCAATCTCTACAATAGAAAACATATATTGTAACTCCAAAAGATTTAACACAAACCAACTAGCTGATAAGGCACTTGAGGTTTTACACATTTCCAAATTATTATTGCCAAACTTTAATTACAATCACTGTTTAAAGTGTTATGCTACTTTACTGGTTTTGTTCTCATGACCATTAACATGTAAAAAATCACAATGCAAAATCAAGCAGACTCATGACTCATAAGACATTTCCGAAAGAGGTGACAATGCACTATGGGGCAAACCAGCTGAAATAAGCAAAATCACCTACCAAAGTTGTAATAAATGATAAATGTGCCAATTTCCAGAGAGAGTGGATTCTGTCAGCAAGGCTATTCAATGGATTTGTAGTATAGCAGTTTGAATCCTACAGGGAATGCTATAAGCCCTAATCACTAAATGGAGCCTTGTTGTTACAGCTATCCAAAGTAATTGGACCACAACAATATGAATTTACGGGCTTGGCCTGGCCTGCCTGTGTGTAAATATCAGTGTGTGACCTTGCCCCAAATTTATTTTTAAAAAGTAGACAGAGAAGTACAGGATTCGAGACAAACTTGATGCAATGAACATGCATATAAGGACTGGGGCTTCTATATATAACGTTGTTTCTTGATTACTGGAATTAAGAGCAGTCCTATAATAGCCTCACTTACTTCTTTTATTTTATTGCTCTTTCATTCAATTTTATTTCCTTTTTAATCGCATTATATTTTAGGGACTTCATTTTGTACTTCATTCTGAATGGTCAAGTGAAAGGAAAGAGTCTGTTCACATCATGGCCATCCCGTCTGGCAAAATCTCTTAATGACCTGACACAAATGGTGCTGAAAGCTCCAAAGCATGAGGATTGGTGGCGGGGGTGGGGATATTTAATGTTAGTGTATGCATTGTTTTAACAGGGTTGGTTCAAAACTTCATGACCTATATAGCCTTTTGATACATAAGATTCTTTCAAAATCTAAACATTTAGATCATACAATCTGGCTTTCATTTTGAAGGACAGTGGTCCCTGCATGAAGATCTCGAAAGCGATGCCCCTAACCATAAACGGGCCATTGTCTGGTGAAGTCTGAACTGATGAAACATGTTCCATTTTACAGGGCAGGGGGTGACAGCTGGGGGTGAGCAGCAAGAGGTAGTCTGGTTGCCTCTCATGCCTTCATTATATTTATGCCATAAATTTTACATGGATTAGGGCTGAATAACCATCTGTCTTGTTGCTAACTTTTATAGGACAGACCTTTCTGAGGATGCTTCCATTCACAGAACTTTGTAAGTTAGATAAAAAGGACTCAGTTCCTATGTTATGGAATAGTCTTCCATAAGATCAAATCCTACTCTTACAACATTTTTAAAAGTTGGAAAGATATTTCTTTTAATTCAGTCTTTTTAGCTGTTTGTAGTAGTGTATTATGCATTTAAAGTGACTTTTTAAAACTATTTTTACTTAAGTTTTTGAATAGCTAAAATTGTAGAGAGTATTTCAGTTCCCTCTATAATAACTAATAACTAATCAACCCAAGATTGAAAACTACAATTACTGAGTGAAATAAAAAATATAATGAAATATTTGAACAAAACTATCTGTTTTGCACGTGACCTTAGCAATACTTACTGCAAACGCTTCATGAAATTCAAACACATCAATGTCTGCCATTGTTAGGCCAGCTTTTTCCAAAACTTTGGGAGTAGCATATGTTGGCCTAAGAGAAAAAGAAGCCAAGAGCTGCATTCAGGTCCTTCTGGACAGGGAAACCTACTGGCTGAGAAAGGCTGCAGCTATTCAGAAGAACCTGCCTGTATCATCATTATAAAAGGGCACCGTTTCTTTTTATTTGGCAGAAAAAAACAAAAATACTCTCTCTTCCAAGCAGCTTGAAGAATTGTTATCCTATCCATCCCTGATCTAAAAACTGAATAGAGAATACAATACCTCTATAGTAACTAAGTTTTATCTCTTGCTGGTGATATAAGAAGCTGTGCAACCAAAGAAATGGAAACAGAATGTTTGCTGCAAATTAGATATGCTAAAGAGATGAATGAAAAGAAAAAGAAACTATATAAACAAAGCAATTTCAGAATTCAGGAGGATTTTACACCATTTCTTGCAAGCTGTGGAGACTTGCATTTATGACTCAGCCAATGTTTCTTCAAGTATCAGTTGCAAAATGCAAGAATCCAAACTGAGTATGGGTATGTCTGACCATTAGTCAGCAGTTCAGTAATTTGTCTACTCCAGGACAGTCAGCTCTTTTGAATGATTTTCAGAGGGGGCTGATGGCAATACAGTCCTATGCCAAGAGTTAGGGAAGAATGTGTGGGAGAAGGTAGGGGAGGATTGAGTTCCTGAATCCTAGAGAATCTTAGCTGAATGGAACTGATCACAGAAATAGGCTGCTACAACTGTCAAAAGTCAAGTCTTCCACAGTAGATACATTGTGGAAAAAGTGGCAATCCACCCCATGAAATATTATTGTAGTTGCCAGTCCTGTCAAGAAAAAGCTGCCAGTAAATTTAATGTGACAAAAAGGGGAAAATAATTATATTCAAAGGGAATAATCATACTGTTACATAATTAGTTGGGAGTTAGGAGTCATATACATATTAGTGGTAAAGGTTTTCCTTGTCTACTCGTGTTCAACTCTAGGGGCCAGTGCTCATCTGTTTCCTATCTGAGGGAACAAGCGTTGTCCAAAGATACTTCCGTGGCCATGTGGCCAATATCACTATACACCGAGGCACACAAATGCTGTTTTCTTCTCATCGAAGTGGGATATTTATTTACTTGTATATGCATGCTTTCAAACTGCTAGGTGGGCAGGAGCTGGGACAAGTAATGGGAGCATGTCACTCAGATCTCAAACCCAGGCTGTCAAATTACTGGCTGAAAGCCCAGCGCCTTAAAAGCTGGGCCACCACGCTTCCCCCCTTTTTAGTAGTAAAATAACTCATATTTTCACTCAATTTCAGCTCTATGTATTTTTTAAGAATGTGATGCCTAACACACCGCTTAAGGACCAAATGTGAGCCTCCATCTGAAAAATGTTGCACCTCCCTGCAGCAACTGGGACAGTTGCCTAGGACTAAGAAAGAGGGAATAAGGTTTCTTCAAATAAAATGATTTGGAAAAAGGACACATTTCTATTTTCATGGTAAAAAGGATTCTAAATTTACAACTTACCCAAGCAGAAGCTGATCTTTTGGGTCTTGGGATACATATATGAAATCTCTAAATTGCGTTTAAAAAAAAGAGAGAGAGAGAGCAGAGATTGATTACATGGTTACATAGATGAGAAAATGGCCATGGTTTTATGACAGATGGTGAGAGAAGGGAGAGCTTCCATTCACCTGAGGTAGGCCTTTGGTTTGTATCCCATTGCCAAAGCTTTTTCTTCAGTCATTAAGAGAACTGCTGAAGCTCCATCAGTCTGTGGAGACAATATAAAAATGCCATCAGACTCTGAAAAAAGAGTTGAGCTCAACCCCACTGTCTCTTAATTCAGTTTGCATATTACTGTATTTGTTATTTTTTTTAAAAAAAAGAAATCAAAACTGAGCCTAATGCAAAATGAATGATTTTGCATCCCCCCAAAAGGTAACTCTGAATTTTAAAATTGGTAGCCAGGAAGAAGTCTGGAACTAAGATGACTGAAAGGAAAAGAACCAGTTGGGCCAAGTAAAGAGTGAAAAGAAAAGATAATGGTAAGGGAAGCAAGGGGGGGAAGGAGAAACATAAACAATGGGTAATATGGAAAAACACAAAAGAAGCAGGAAAGCCAGACACTTGGTGGAGGAGTTTTGGGCCACAAAATGTTAAGACCCAAGTAATTTGAAAGGTATGATGACTGTGTAACAACTGTGGAGTCCTTGATCAGGTCAATCAAGTAATGAAACACCTGCAAACAACCAAGATCAGAGAGCACAGTTCAACTGTGAGCTACATATATTCTCTTCTATTGTATAATGATGCTGACACTGATGTAGAAAATGAGCCATTTCACACTATTTTGAATTTTAAGGAAACAACAGTATTCCTCCCAATGTTACTGCATTACTAGGATGATAAATCACTATCAAACCCTGGATAAGTAACAAATACTCATATGCAAGTTTTAGAAACAACCATAAACTTTAAAGGAACAGCCAAGGGTCCTTTATGAGCCAGATTGTGGCTTGGTATTATACTTGAATCAATTTTAATCTATTCTGATTAAAAGAAAATGCCAATCTAAGGTTCCAGCAATTGTGATTATGTTGTATAATGAAGATGCTTCAGAATGTATTTTTCAAAGGCAAATGTACAAGGGTGTTACCAGGAAAGAGGAGTTGGCAGCTGTTACAGTCCCATATGGTTTGATAAAAGCAGCTTTCAGTCGACCCATCTGCTCCAATGAAGATGGCCGGACGCCGTTATCCTTCACCACAGTGTCCTTTCCTGTAAGAGTCAAACATGTGAAGAGGCTTATGGTTCAAGACATCTGCTATGTTGAAAGTCTACCTGTGAAATTCAACCTTCTTCATTTCTGCAATTCTTGACTGGGACCTCTGCTGTTCATACTCTTAAACACATACAGATTTTTCCCGTATTCCCTTCCAATGGATTCATTCTTTCTCATACAATTTATTTCCTCTTCTGTTCTACCTTCAAGATTTCCTAAGATCGTTTGTTACTTTGCCTCTCTCTAGTAAACCCTTCCCAACTAGGTACTCTTCACAATTACCATATTTTTCAGACTATAAGACGCACCTTGATTTAGAGGAGGAAAACAAGAAAAAAACGTTTTTTGCTTCTGTGCATGTTTTCAAACCCACCCACCCCCCAGCATCCAGAAACACTCTGCAAGTAAAAAATGAGCCCATTTTTGGCCTCTGTGGGTCCTGTTTTTGCTCAACCAAGCGTCCAGAAGCACTCTCCAGAGGCTTCCTGGGTCCTGTTTTTGCCTTCCCCAAGGAGGCTGAAAATGGGACCCGTGGAGTGCTTCTAGACGCTGGTGAGGGCAAAAAATGGGATGCGTGGAGGCTTTGGGAGGCCAAAAACGGGCCCATGTTGAAATCTAGTACCATAGTTTTTGGACTATAAGACACACTCCCCCCCTCCCCCCCACCCAAAATGGATGGAAATGTCTGTGCATCTTATTGTTCTGACCCACACCCTTTTCTGACAAATCAAACACAATTCACAAAGAACAGAAACCTTGTAATGCTTTTACAAAATAATTAGCTGTGATAAGCACAAGCCTTGCCAAACTGAGTGAGACTTGCCAAAAGATAACAGACAAGAAATAATTTGCAAAATAAGAATCTTCAAATACAAACTCAGGATACTGGAATGTCCATGAAGCTGTAGTTTCAAAATGTCTTTGCCTTCTGCAAAATACGTTCGTTCACAGCTAGCTTTTATCTTCTTGAAGGAGGGGCCATTACCTTGCAGCCTTACTCCTGAGTCGCCCGTGCTGTTCTTTCCTCCAAGAAATCCTGCACGCACACGAACTTGGCACAGGCTCCTCAGGAACCTCCTCATCACTGCTACCAGCCCCCACAATCTCTGAAGGCAGGAGTCTACTCCCTAATGGTCCCTCATCTGAGTCCTCGCTCTCCTCAGCCATCTGCACCTGCTGCCGGCTAACCACAACACTTATAGAGTGAATATGGTACTAGATTTCAACATCCATAATCCTTAACCAGCACAGCCTCTGACTGGGATTTGTGACAATTCAAGTCTAACACTTTTACAGATAGATTGGGGAAGGCTCCCTTTAGATCACTTGGAAATATCAGAGCCAGATGCTCTGAAGAATACAGCAGCTCATCCCATGGTAAGAGTTATGGTGAAAGTCATGCAACTGGCTGAGGACTTTGTGTCAGCCAGACAATTATAGCCGGAGGTGGCATCATTAATATCAATCCCTATAGTATGTTACATTATGGGTATAATCCATAATCATTTTGCATGATGACAACCTGTCTTGGAAAAATAAATTTGTATTATTTTAAAAGACAGAAAAAGAAGGGTAGTTGTGCTTGTTACACTATATAACACTAGGAAACCAAAGTACTCTTTTGACCAAAGTACTCTTGAGAACATTAAAGCATTTTTGAGGCCGATTTGACTGACTTACTACTAGCATTTTAATAGGAGGCATTCAGTCAACATTTTGACCAGAGATAATGGATACTTTTTATTTTTTAAAATTTGTTATTAAATCTGATGAAGCTATTCATATCTTACGAAAATTTGCTATTATCTAAACACAAAATATAACTTTGCTACTTCTAAATATGTATTTTTAAGGAGAATACTTAAAATTGTCCCAAATAAATTAGGGTATCAGCAAAAGTTTTCACTTTCCTTATTTGCTGTATGGATGTGGCTGAACATATGCAGGAACTAGGCACAGGTAAGGCATATGTTTCAATCTTAACTCATTCACTGAATAAATCTATGAACTAGGAAGAGCAGGAAGAATAAAGCAGAAGGGGAGAAAAAAAACTAATTATCGGTAAAAACAAGTTTTGTCTCCTCTCTCTTTATCTTTAAGAGGTCTCTTTCTTTATTCAGCGTCTAAACTGAATAACAACAACAACCTTTACTGTCATTGTACATGTATACAACGAAATTGATTTTGCTCCTGCTGGTGCTATCCATAACAAAATTACAATACAACATAAATAATATAGAAAATGGCCCTTATACAAGTAATTAGGGAGAAACCTGTCATATGTTTCCATGTATGCATGGAGTGCTTGTAGTTGTATTTAGGAGTCTGGCAGCCCATGGATAAAAGCTGAAAGCCATTCCAAGAGAAAAATATTTCCCTCCAATGGAATGTGGAACCATTGCTACAGTTTCCTCTAAACAAACATTTTACCTGGCACTTTGAACGCTACCAGATCTGTGAGAAGGGACTCATCTTGTGCTTTCTTGGCCAGAGTGTGTGAACGGAGAGCATATTCATCTTGCTCCAAACGTGAGATAGCAAAAGCAGCTGCCAGGCGATCTGCTGAATGACCCATGGTCTCGTTGGTGGAAAATTCTGCCACTGCAGGGAGCTAGAATTATTGAGAAAATTGCATGTGAAGATCAGTTCCCCTCAATTCAATGCAGACAGCTCCATAACCTAATTGCTGAAGGTAAATCCACAAGATTTAGCAATGTAAAATATGTACTATAACACTAGCATGCAGTGGCTCACCTTTTGCCATCTCTTGTTTAATCTACTCTTCCTCCTAAGCTGCTTTACCTACAAACTCGGTCATGACTCTTTCCTCCCTCAACCTACTTTTTCTTTCAGCAAAGAAATTCCATACGTCAATCTCAGCCTCATTTTGCTCTATTATGTAATGAGTTTCTCAAGCTTGGGAAAAAGAATGACAGCTTGCACATGTTTTCTTTACCAGGTAGCCAACTCTCCAGTAAGTTAACAGATGTTCAGCAAAAGATCAATAAAGTTAGAAATAAATTAAATGCTAAGCTAAATATATTAAATCCCCAAGTTTTTTGTAACAAACCTCTTTTCCCTTCCAATAAATCTGGTTAAAGAAGCCTATATAAGAATCTTGGGGAAGATTTGTGAACTGCTAAGGGCTTGAACTCTTTACTATTTCTTTTATGAATTGCTTTCTAGACCAAAGTTAATGAAAGCTGAAGATGTGGTATTAGAGAACAGTCAGCAACTGTTTTTGGCCACAATGTGTCTCTGGCTGATTATTCTATTTATCCTTGCCCATTTTCTGAATTTGTTCCTTAGGAAGGCAGTGAAATGAAATCTATTTCCTCCTTTACCTCAGGTGCAAAGTAATCAGGACGGATTTTGGAGATCAGGGATAACTTCTGGCCCAATCCTTTTGCTCTTGAAAATCCAAGCAAAATCTTCCTCATCTTCCGACTATGTCTGATAGGAACATCAGACATCAATTCAACACCACCAGCAATGACCACATCCATCTGGCCAGATGCGATGAGGCTATATGCTATAAAAATCAGAAGGCACATACATGACAGATACCATGTTGAAGACTGATCAGTTTCCCGACTGAAAAAACCCATTCAATTACTTTTTATATGCTATTTCTTTTTTTAAATTGGCTATTTCTCATCCTTGTACTTCATACCTATCGTAAAACTTCAAGCAGAAGATGAGGGATAATTGATAAAGTCACATTAGAGTTAAAGATTCAATAGAATTAACAATTCTTTCCTAAAGTATTTTTTAAAGTCACTTTAAAAGTTCAACTTTATAAATCCAATTGGGTTTCTACTTTATATGAGTCTAGGTATACATTTACACTTTTAAATCTTGGTTTCTTCAGGTGCTCTGTTTATTTGCATACTATCTTTTGCCTATCTTCCAAATTTAAATATTTATCAAGTTTATAAAGAAGCTTGGTAAAATCTGTTATACATCCTATTAGAATTAGGCATGTGAAAATTAAAATGCAAATCAAGTTGTAAGAATGAAATTCTCTGAAGCAATTTACATTATTTTATTCTGGACTGCAACGTCACTGTAAATGCTTTCTTAGCATTTTTAAATTAGAAATAGACTTTTATGTCTTTTTTTCTCTCCAAGAGATGGCCTCTGTTAAATAAAACAGATGGCTATCAGTTGCTACATGGCAAATCACTGAGGACATTTCAGGCTTCATAGTTTATTCTTTGTCCTCCTGATAAAATTTGGTGCAAAACTCCAGGAATTTGTAACCATAACTAATATTTATTTCTTACTATAAGACCAAGAAGATCATTGCTAATATTCCTTAAAATATCCAAACGTCTTCCAGGGGGCAAATTCTACTTTCCTTTCGTCTCTGAGTTAGAATGTTTATTTGTTTTTATCTATTTATTATCTATTTATTATTAAACTTTGATGCCGCCCATCTTGTCGAGGCAAGTCTGAACAGCTTACAGTCATACAATTAAATACCTCATACAACATTAAAACAATAAATAAGAACCAAACATTTAAAAATCAGATAAAATTCAATTAATCAAGATGGAAAGGAAAGGAGTGAATTATGCATGGGAGGAGGTGGGGTTTAATACATTAACCACCTCCAAGTTGCCACTCTCCTATTGGGGTCCCAGGCAAGATGGCAGAGCCTGGTTTTTCAGAAGGCCCGATGGGTGGGTGCAGCTCTCACTGGGGGGCATGGGGGGGGGTAGATTTTCCAGAGGGTGGGTGTCATGGCAGAAAAGGCTCTTGTCCTAGATCCCGCCAGCTGAAATTCCTTGACTGACGGGGTCCACATGCCTCTTCTGCTGGCATGGATGGGCAGGCTAATTCTATCAGCATGAGCAGGTTCTTCAGATAAACTGGACCTATCCTATGAAATACTTTTGAGGTGATAACCAATACCTTAAATTGGACCCAGAAGCAAATTTGCAACCAGTGCAGCTCACAGAGCAGTGATGTAATATGGGCTGCCCTAGAGGTCTCAATAACAGCTCATCCAACTGGTTCTACACCAGCTGAAACTTCCAGAGATCCTTGAAGGGTGGCCCCATGTAGAGCATGTTGCAACAGTCCAATATTAAAAGGCTAATACTACATTCTACTGGAGAAATAAATTCTCCTGCATGTTTACAGTCTATTTATATATGGTCCTTACTTAATCAAGCAAGATAACATACCAGTCGTCATTGCCTGGTTGGAAGATATGCAAGCCATGGTGACAGTGTGAGCAGGAGTTTTGTCAGAGAAGCCAGCTCCCAAAGCAGCCTACACAAAAGTCAGAAAGCAAATCAGAATATTGAGAGATGTCTAATTTCTACAGTTCTCATGATACATTGCAGTCCACAGTTTTCAGCATAGCAGGTTTTGCAAGAATCTTGCAGGGAAACTCAGGTTGAGAGGTTTTTATCTTACTAGTATATTCAATGACTGGATAAAGATAGAAGCCTTTTGCTCTTTGAAATTTTAATAGTCAACAATTAATATAATAAGGTTTATGTTTAACCAATATTAAATAAACAATTTTTGTTTGATCAATATTAAAGAGCATTTTAAAAGCATATAACCAGGGCCTCTGCTTGCCAATTATAATCACTCTTTGTATTGCAATTTTCAGTTTATTGAAAACAGAATGGTTCGTTCAGATCTCATATTAAGTAATAATTTGTAATTTTGGCTAAGCCTATTTGGTAAACCCTGCTAATTTACATCATACCACGATTAAACCAAAAATGGCGTATCAAATGTGTGAATCCAGATCACCAAATGTAACAAACAAGTTCAGACTACAGCAACCACAGGTTAAGAAATTCATTTATTTGCAATAGTCAAATGGTTAATTCCACAAATCAGAGTCAAAAGTTCTTGGCTATCTGTTTGCCTCTGCTTACAAACATATACATAACATTGCTTGGGAGGCTTTGGGCTTAAAGGCAGAGACACCTTATGTAAAAGACCCTTTACACATTTTAACTAGCATGGGAGTAATCCTAAAGTTGCCAGGAAAAGTACTGAAAGCTAGCTTTCCAATGAGATCACTAGGACATGCAAGCAGTGAGTATTTTCCTATTGAGATATTCCTATCTCAATAATCACCTGAGAAAATGCTGCCCCAGCTCCAGTTACCTAATTGTACACTGGAGCAGAATGCCAAAGTATATTTTATCTGGAAAATGTAACATAAATCTTATTTTAGCCACCCATGAAATGAAGTTCTCTCAGGAACATTTCACTTATGTTGGGAATTATGAAGAGAGAATGTACCACAAATGCCTCTCTGCTTTCAGTTAAAAGGGGAGGGGGAGGCGCTACTGAATGGAAAATATGGCATGGTACAGCAAAGAAAGATAGCTCGGTCGAGGGAGCCAAAGCTTAGTCTCAGGCACGCCTGTTAGGAAGCACGATTTCAAATAGCCAGAGTCAGAATGAAAAGTTGAAAAACAGGGAATATATTCAGAGGTAGAATATTCTAGCAGGATTAATGCAATGCTCCAATTTAATCAGTCTTGGTTTCTATGATTCAGCAGTAAGACGCCTAAGTAAGGTATCCTTGGTTACACAATACCACACAACATTGCTCCACTGACACAAAGCCAACTGGGGTAAAGTTCAGCGTGAATGTTAACATGAAGATACTTGCACAGGCGGAGAATCAGACAAGCAAAAACTGCTGACAGGTGAAGCAGTACAGAGGGGAAATGCAAGCAGTAACCAGTTACTATGATGTCTAACTGCTAAAAATGGCAACTTTGGGGCTTTTAATATTAAAACTTCGTTCAGGTGCCTGCTTAGTTTTTGAAAGGCAAACATGAATGCTCTTGCAACTGTCAGAAATGGGAGATGATTTGACATGCTTTATGAGCAGAGCAAATAATAAATATAGGCTTGTCAACAAGTTAAAGGGCAAGTCCATCATTCAAAACAACAAAAATCATTGTCATCAAAAGTAGGCAAAATCAAACTGGAGAAAAGGTTGATATCTGTGACTACGTAAGAAATTACTTAATCCTAAAGAATTGGACTTTGTCAGTTTCAGATATCAAGTTAATAATCAACAACTCTTACATTCTTAACTTCATTTGATTAGGGCAGTTTGTTTAGGTTCTCAGTGGTTTTTGCATATAGGAGCTGTAGACAAGCAAATGTGCTTTCAGGAAGTTTTTTTAGGGGGGCGGGGGGGGGGGGGGGCTTTGAATTAGAATTGACTCCTGGCAAATGCCTGGACTAATCCTTACAATTTTCTTGGTCAGACTTTTTGGGAATTGATTTGCTGTTGTCTCCTTCCTAGAGCTAAGAGTGATTGGCCCAAAGCATAAAATGATATCTTTGTCAGCATTGCCAGATCCATGTTTGTCATTACAATGACAAAGTAATATATTGTAATTCAAGGCTGAATATGCCTTGAAAACAATATTTTACTTCTGTAAGTTGCTCAGAATTATCATCAGTGAGTTGGGCAGCCATACACATTTTCTTAATAAATATTTAAAAAGTGCTTCAGACTTGCCCATTTCTGTTGTTTAAATCGGCCTATCAATTTTCATGCTTCTAAATACCAAAAACAAAGCTATGCCTGCTTTAAGGGTTACATTGACTTTAATAAGTGGATTTCTTACAGGAGCCGCCCCCTTTTTTTAGGTGATTAGGAAGATCAGCAGCAGGAAAGCACTGGAAAAAATAGGATGGGAGCCCTGTAGGAAAATGGCAAAGGCAGGAAAGTGATCTGTGATGAGTGGGACAGGAAGATTGGTGGCAGCAGTTAGAAAGTACTATGTATTAGGTTTATAGCACAGAAAGTGACAAAAGGCAGAGGGGGCTCTAGTCTGGGGTAGGTAGTGAGGGAAACTGGCAGATACAGCACCAAGCCTTGGAGAACAGGAAACAGAATCAGACATTCCTTCATGTACATCAAGTCTGCAAAATGACAGGCGGGCTTTTTAATGCATGCACAAAATGTAGAAGCATGCTTTAATTTATTTATTAATTAATTTTATTCATTTTGTCAATTGCTTACAAGATAATAGGTATAAGTAAAAACATAGTTATGAATACATGGATACATATAAGAAAAATAGAAAACAAAAGAAACAATAGGACAGGGACGGTAGGCACGTTGGTGCACTTATGCACGGGTTGGTGCACTTATGCATTACAGCCCTCTTAGGAAAGGGGTAAGGTCAATAGTAGACAGTCTAAGGTTAAAGTTTTTTTTAAAAAAAATTAAAATTAAATGTTTAGAATGACTGGATATTTAGAAAGTAATTCTGATATAAAATTCGGCTTTATTTGGAAACCATTAAAGGCTACATTTTTAAACATGGAATTGCACCATATCCAAAATTATGGTTTCAGAGGTTATATTCTAACAATATATAATCTCTGTATCGTTTATACTGTCTTGATCATTTTTTGTCATCTGTAGTTTTTCTATCTCTCCTTTTTAAATGTTTGATAGTGTCAGCCAAAGACTTAAAATCATATCTAATGAAAGATGTTTTGATTAGAAAATGGATATGAAATGTTTTATTGTATTACAAGTTTTAAATAAGGTATTAGAGCATATTTATGATATATTTTACATTTCACCCAGCCTTCTTTTACTGTTTATATGTATTTGTATTATCTATTTTTACAACCTTTTAAACGTGTATTCATGTCTTCTTCTAATTTAACAAACTTTGCAGTTTAACAGATACCCTTCCCCCAAATGGGACCATTAAATAAAAGTGTCAAGCAGTTTTATGGCAAGATCCAATCTGGGTCGGTCACTGGGATCAGAGGTTTAGTTTTCCGAGCTTTCTTGGGCTCCAGCATGAGTCTGAAAGCTCAGAAGACTAAGCCTCTGGTCCTGGTGACCAACCCAGTTTGGATCCTGCAACATTATCCTATAACATATATCTCCATTTTTAAGTTCTAGAAGCCAATTCCACTCAAAATTCGTTCCTTCCTCTCATCTCCATTCATATCCCTCCCCACCTGTCCCCATCCCAAGTGATTCTTCTTTGGTTTAACATACCTCTCTAGCAACATTACTTGTTTTCACTTCTTGGATAACAGTGCCTAACAAAATGTACTCAACAGCTTCCTTAGGCACATCAGTCCGACATAGCAAGCCTCTGAGGGAACAAATCAGAGAAAGAAGGCACTTCAATGTCAAATCAAGAGTGTTTTTAAAAATGACAACAGAAACGACAGAGGGAATTGAGTGCTTTAAGAGGACAGACTGAACTTGATTATTCAGTCTGAAGAAAAGAAGGTTATAGTTTGGCAAGATTCTGTCTATTAGTGTAAGCAGGCATTTTAATCACATCTATCTATAGTATGAGAGTCACTCCGATATTGTGGTTAAGGCAGGCTAGAAACCGAGAGACTGCACATGAAACCAGTTGGATGATCTTGGGCCAGTCACTCCCTCTCAGCCCTAGGAAGAAGGCAATGGCAAACCACTTCTGCAAAACTTTATCAAAAAAAAAACAACTGCAGGGACTTATCCAGGCAGTCTCTAGGAATCAGACAGCAAATTGGCTCTCCAAACGTTTCCAAAATGCCTGATCCAAATTTTGTTACATGCTAATCTAGGTAATCTGCTGAATCTACATAGTTCTAGATAACAGAAATCTTGACAGGATTTTTGTTGTTGCTTTTTTGTAAGTGATTAAATTGTCTTGTGTACTTTTTAATTCTGGAAATTATCAAAGAACAGGCAGGTTTCAAAATACTTTTTCTCACACTAAATGGTTCCCAGAGCAGGCCAAGAGGTTATCTTGGAAAGAGTTATGCTTTGCTACTGCCTGTGCAGTTTTGCTCCCACAGCCCATAGTCCACCTTGCTTTGTAGTTGAGCAAAGTAGCAAATGCAGTCCTCGAATTAAAATAGGATTCTACATGCCACTATAAATCTTAGATTTTATTACTGGGAAAACAGTCCTTTTCATTCTATAAGCTAGGTCACAAGGTGGTTTCTAGGGCAGTGTTTGGATCTGATTGGGGGGAAATGGTTCAGAATGCAAGAAAAGGTGAATGCAGTAAATTCCTGCAATTCACTGGGGAAGCTACCTCTGTTCTAAGGACTTTATGGCAGTTTTCAGTTCATTTAGCTTTAATGAATCCAGAGAGAAGCTGTATTGCTGCTCTTGGGAAAAGTACTACTTCCAATTGAATCCAAGGTATTGCAAAGCCCTAGAGCTTACAGAGCAAGACACAACAAAATTCAAGACATTTCTATCTCAAATTCTTTTTTTAAATTCACATGTAAGTGTTTTACTTAAGAGAAATTTAAAGAAAAACATAGAAAAGATAGAAGTTATAAAGTAAGAAAAAACCCCAAATGTTATGTAATACAGTGACCCCGAATTTATCTTTAACAGATAATTACAATCTTATAATCTTCCCTCCCTCTTAGACATCAAACAAATCCCTTTAGCCCATCACTTAGTCCACATTTTTAAAATCCTCAATCCTTAACTTACATAATTTTTTCTTCTTTCAGCAAAAGCTCCATATAAGAAAACATTTCACCTGGAGACTCTGAATTCTAGTCCCACCTTAAGCATGAAAGCAGCTGGATAACTTTATACCAGTCACACATACTCAGAACTATTAGAAATGCCGGCTACCTTGCGTTATTTATAAAAAATAATAAAGGTGTGATATAAATAAAGATGAAAGAATTCGAAGTACATTAGGAAGACAACAAGTGAATTATTCCCATCTATATTTATTGGGAGTAAGAATGGCAGTATGAGATGGGTAGTTTGATAAAACAAGAAAGAAGAAAAGGCACTTCAGGCCCAAAAAACAAAGCATAACAACATTCCTAAACAACTCTCTATGAACCAAATCACAACCAAACTGCTCCACTTCTATTTATTTACTACTTACATCAGTGCTGCCCTGGCCAAGTCATGTGGCATTAAATCTGTATACCTGAAGATTAGAAGAGAAAGAAAAAAATACTTTCTCATTAACTCCTGAAAAATATACTTAAATTGTTTTTATAAATTTTATAAAGGGAAGATTTAATACTTACGAGGTCCCGGACTGCAAAAATGGAATGCGAACACCATCCACCACTACAATATTCTTCATCCCATTTTTAGCTAGGGTTTTCTTACTTTTGGCCTGAACTGCAGCAATAATAAATTATTACTAGAAAAACTAATAGAGCAAGAATTATCACAAAATCATTGAAAATCAAAGCATTTCTTTATTTGTTGCTACTGTTTAGAAAAGGGACGAATTTTTTTTTTTACACTAGGATAAGATCAGTAGTGTTTATTTTGAAATTTGTCTAAAAACATCCAAAGTTCACAATTTATTCCTTCTATTTAATAACGTTAAGATAATTGATTTTTCCTTCTATAGTTTTCCATGAAGCATAAATAAACACCAAAACTAGAATCACAGAACTTCAGCACTTTTTAAAAAATATTCGTGTGTGTAATACACACATGCCCATAAGAGTCATATTTCCTATAGATTACAGTACTTTCACAACAAGTTTTGGATTTAATTTATGTGATCTCAGATCTATTTTATATCCTAATTTATGAGACAGCATAGGAGTGCAAGTACAGTAGAGATGTGCAGTCAGACTATTCATATTTTTCTGTACCTGTTGCGAATAACTGGGATGAGCAGCTGAAAGATCTCAAAGCTGAAATGTAAGAAAATCAAAATATAAGAACATGGGTAAAACAGACAGTAATGTCACTCAGACAGAAAAACAAAGCAAATTTCTCATAAGCTTCTAACTAATCATGAGCCAAGAGGATCAGAGAGAATGTACTGACATTTAGAACACAAAAGCAAAAAATGAATATTATGATAGGATTATGGTATCTTAATATGATAGTATCTGCATCAGAAAAAGAGCAATGAAACTCAGAAAAAGACAATGAACTATTTTAACTAAAATGAATAAAACCTTTATAACAAACCAGCATGTAATTCCAGTAACTGATCATGCATTGAATATTTTTAATAATCTAAAGGAGAACTTACAGAATTTGGCTGCCCGTGGAATGATGGTAGGAAGAATTTTCATGCCACAAGTCAACAAGGATGCCATTTTGAAGCCTGAAACAGGAAAAAAAATTGCTGTCATTTATCTTATTTCTTCTTTTTCTTCTTGTGTCGTATCCGTCATCGGACATTGGCGATCATGTTGGCGATCCTAGTTAGCTTGTTGAAAACAGTAAATATTGTGGGCACAGAGCCCAATTCACAGGTTCATTCAAAGTAGCCATGCTCATGGTTCCCCATCTGGCTTCCAAAAAACACTGGGAAATTTTCAAGCAGCAAGACATAAGCAGAAACCATAATTTTATTTTATTAATAACAGATAATACAGAGTAGATGAAAATACTTATTTTATACTGGAATTTTGTTACCTCTGGTTTACCAAATTTGCAACATGGTAAGTATAATTCTTGCTTTAATGCATTAAGGTTTTGCCCATGCAAATAGACTTTGAAAAGAACATTCATTCAAATGCTTTATACTACCTTATCATCTATCTTTTCTTACATTTCCCAGTTTGTATACGTCAGCTCATTTTATTAATGTTACTGTAAGATTATGGTTTTGGAGATGAGTTCCAAAAAGGAGAATCAACATAGGGTAGCAATTCAGATACTGAACTGGGATAGGAAAGAATCAGGTTTAAATTCACATTTAGCTATTTATGTAATTTCATTGAGTGGGTTTCCACTTAGAGATACAAGAACAACTGATTCAACCTGCTTCATGAAATGAAATTGGGAAAAAGTTTTGAAGCACAATGATGTACAAATACTTTGTACCTTGCAGAATACAGGATATATGCAGGATCAATCACATAATGGCAGGATCAATCGCATAATATCAATCACATAATAGCAAGTCAACAATTGAGTGTCTTTTTCTGCTATGAACTACAGTTATGACAGGGAAAATCAAAATGCTCTATTATATATGGTATTTTAATTATCTTTATTCTTATTGCCATTTACTAATATACAAAACAAAAATACAAAATCAGTATAAAAATGTATAACAAACAAAAGTATAAAACAAGCTATAAACAAAAGCAAAAAAGAAAGGAAAATGATAAACAATAAGCAAAAAAAGATATATTTGATATATTAAACATTAAACAATATATGAAGATTTCAAATTTAAAAGAGAATGAATCTGTGCTAAAATTTCATGATAAGAAAAGTGTAAATATCACACCATAACAGTGTTTCCTAAGTACAATGGTCAATTTAATTATCAGATACATAATAAATATTCCATACTGCTATTATGCTTGCACAGTATTGGGACATTTCTTCCTTGGATTCTTCCTTATGAAACTTCGCATGTACTTTGGGGTTATAGTTAAGCTAGTTTTTTGCTCGTTGCCAACTGCCCTTCCTCAACTTGAAACTCTCTCTTACACCTCTCATTAATTCCATTGCATGCAAAAACCGGGATGTGTAATTCAACGCAGCTCTATTAAGAAAAACGAGACAGATCGGCAATTGGGCACATCGACACATCATCCTTAATGTCTCCGTCCACTGCTCCTATCACGTCACTTCCCTCCACGGAGAACCCACGCAGGAAAGCAAATCCTCCCACCGCCTAATCCCCCTCATTTGCCCTCCCTCCAGCCCGCTTGGGAATTAGAATCGCCCACCTTGGAGGGGAAGCGCGATAACCAAGGCAGATTAGCTCACCGCCGGCAACAGCCTCCACCACAGGCTGTAAACAATCAGCCCCGCTCCCTTACCCGCCCAAGGGCGCCAGTACAAAGGAGGCCCTCCCTTGCCGACGTTAGCCGGCGTTCGCTGTTGCCGCCTAAACCGCCCCCTCCCTTCCCCTCCCCTTAGTTCAACGTTTCTCATTCCTCATAACAATTATTGAAAAAGAGCCTTACCAAACAGAAAACGTGTGAGAAATGTGCCCTTCGGAAGAACGGTGGGGGCATCTGCCGCGCCACAACAAGAGGCGCTGTGATTTGTCAACAGGCAAATCAGGGGACGGCTCACTTTAAGTAAACCAGAGCGACGAAGGAGAAGGGAAAGCCCGCTTCGGCTTTTCCACGCCCTTATCCGTCTTCCTTCGCTTCTTTCAATCTTCGCTAGCTTGACCGACCTCCCCGCTGGGTTAAGATGGCGGCTGCTGTCAGGGCTATCGGGAGCTTGACGCGCTTCACGGCCGCTGCCAAGTATTGCTCGACCGGGAGCAGCCTCTTAGGTGAGAAAGGCTGGAAGGGAGACTTTCAGGCGCTCGGTTAATTGAGAGGGAATAGGAGGAAGGGGGCATTTCTAGGTTTACTCGTGGTCTAAAGCTGGCACCAGATTATACTCTTCGTTTATACTTACTTCTCTCCATTTAATGGGAAGTGGTCAAAGAGATTATTTAGCCTACTTCACTTCAGCGTGCCTTTAATTTCGATCTTCATTCTAGATCAACCCTTTGAGCCTCGAGGAATCCTTGAAATATTTTTCACGCCTCGGGGAACCCCTGCATATTTAGGCTCAAATATAAGCAGAACTTGCAAAATTATTATAGTCGTTTCATGCACTTCGTTCTCTAAACCCAGTTTCTCTTTTCTTGCTGCTCCTCCGTTTCCACCTCCTCTCCCAAGGACCCTTTTGCACAACTAGAGGGGGGTTGAGGCCTTGCAACTTCAAACAATCCTCTCAATATTTAGACTCCTCGACCTCTCCTGAATTCTTGGCATCTGGTGCCAAATCCTCCAGAATCACCAGAACGCCCCCCCCCATCCTTCCCTGCCCCCGCACCTTTTATGGGTTGCCAGTTAGACAGTTTTCCTGCCCATTTGGCCTTGATTTTGAAGATCAGTTGGAGGAATTTTTTGGCATTTGTGAGTTGCATTTTTGAAGCTATTTTGGGCTAGTTTTAAGGTGGTGTACAATTTGGGGGTTATATATCAAGCTGTCATATTTGCAGAATGCAGTTCAGGGACACAGATGACACTGGCTCACTGAGCTGGATCAGTCAGCTTAATTATCTCCTGTTGCACCAGCAGCCCCGCAAATCCTGCTTCTCCTTTATCTAACCCCCTCTTTCCATCTCCTTTCCCAAGGATCCTTCTGCAGAACTAGAGGTTTGCTCCTTGCAGCCTCCCCTAAATATTCGGACTCCTCAACCTCCTGAACTTTTGGCACCCTGATGCTAAATACCCCCCCCCCCCATACACACACACACCATTACCCTTTTCCTACTGTCCTCTTCCCCCCACTTTGTGGGTGTTTTCTTTTACCTCTGCTGTCCAGGCACTCCAGCCCCAGATCTCCTGCATCCGCTCTGAAATGAAGCTTCCTGAGTTGTTGCACCTGCAAAGAGAGGTGTGTTCCAATAAAGAAGTGTTATAGGTGAGGTGTTGGGGGGGGGCAGCAGCATCTCTTGTCTCTCTTTCCAAATCCCCTGCTTCAGTTCATGATTTGCCTGCCTCCCTTCTGACACGTGTGCATGCAATCCTTGCCCCACCCAGATTTCACATACGCTGTAGTATGGCTAACAATTTAAATGACAGTTGTTCAGTACAGAACAATGAAAGCTTAAACAATAGAGTAGATAAATTTACTTCTATAACTGAGGATGAATCTGAATCTAGGTCTCCCTGTTCCAAGTCTAGCATCTTAAGCTCTGTGATAATGGAGAATATAGGTAGCTCAGGTTGGGGAAATAAAGATGAATAAAATGGTTAATGCAACACCTATACATTTGGGATTCTTTCTGAAGTGTTGTAAACCATGAGTCCCATTGCACAAGTAATCATAGTGTTATGATGGCAGTTGGACCGGAATTTCCATCACTAAGCAATGCAGTCAAAAATCATAATGTCACATGACTGAATTGTATACCAACAACAATCCTGGCTGTTACTGTAATCCCACTGTAATTTGATTGTTATGGGAAGAGGTGTGAGTCTCAGGCAAGAAACATGGTGAGGGTACCACAGGCAGGCCACTAATTGCCAGATGTCTAAATCATGGTCATATGACCATGGGGTGATGGCTGGAACATTGAGGATCAATCATAAGTACCACTCATTCAGTGTTATAAGTTGAACAAATGTTTATAAACTGAGAACTACCTGTAGTTCAAGCAGATTTTTTTATTCAATAGTTTGTAATTAATGAAAATTAACTAGAATAAGAAAAGTGCATAAATTATTTTAAGTTTTCAGTGATTTTAGAAAAGAATTGTCAGGATGAGAATCTGGTTCCCAAATTTCAAAGAACTTAAGGGTGATATTTTCTAATTTGTTGCAGCTCTGACTTTGTAATAAAAATCATTTTGGTGAAAAAAATGCAATAGTTAAAACGAAGATGTAAAAAAAAAAAAAAGGCTCCTATGCTGGAATTTTGATTGGATCCTTTAGATAATGGAGAAGAATTGCATCATGATTGACTTTGAAAAATTAGGTTACAAATATAGATTGTACCAGGTACGGTAGGTGATGTTGGTGCTGTTCCATTCCATCTCCATGACCATCGATGAGCTATTTCTAGGTGCTGTTATCCACATTCCGGAATTTGATTTGTTGTTCACACTGCTGTTCTGTTTCAGCAGTAACCAATAGCGGAGCTCACATTTTATTGATTGCGTCTTCACATTTTGTCCTTCATCCCCTCTTTTATGCCTGCAACCCATCAACCAAGCTATTTTTGCACATGGGTTTATGTTTTTTTTTCAGAGGAGTACTAGATCTGTGTTCACAAATAGCCTTATTGAGAAGTCACAAGCATGCGGTATTTTACTCCTGTGACATATTAGTTGGACAGCTTGATAGATAGTTAAAAAAGCTGCTCCATGTATCACCTATGCTCACCCAACCCAACTCCTTTTAGGGAGAACAGTTAATTGTTGATATCAAGCTTGGTGGGGTGGGAAATACAGATGGAGAAACACTTCACATTTCTAAATTATTCTTCGTTTAAAAAAGGTAGCAACTATTTGTAGCCTTAGGGCTCAGGAAGCATAAGATAGGGCTGAGCAATTTGAAGCAAATTATTTTCTGCTACCTTAAAAACTGGTAGGTAAAATTTTAATGCAGCTGTTTGATTATTGCCAGAATATTGTGGCTGCACCAAACTTGTGTGTCCAGTCCTCTCTACATCCATTGAATCTTCTCAGAAAACCGTGTGAGGTCTCAAGCAAGCAAAAAGTTTTCCATCCCTCTGCTAATGCAGCACTTTATAATAACATGCCATCAATGACTTTGTTAATTAAGAATCTGGTAAATAAAACAAATTTTAATATGATATTGAAGATCTGAAAACAGGTCTAAGGAAATAACTTTTTAGATGTTCCTTTTTTTTTCCAGGCACCACATCATAAGAGCATTTAATTATGTTTTTTCAATTAATAGGCAAGATTCTGTTGTTCTGGTGCAGTCAGTTGTACATTCTATTGTATTGTTATTTAGCTTAATTGGTTTTTAATTCATAATAAATTTGCCTGATTTCATTTGACTTTAAAATTTGTATTGGATTTATTGTCATTGAAAGTTGTTTATATTTGTTCTCTTTGATTGTGGTTGAAATGTGATGGCACATTACAAGTTATTGTTGTTGTCTGTAGGTAAATTCTTATAATTAAACCAATTCTGTACATTTTGTTACTCCAGAGTATACAATTCAAAATAATTACTGTCCTGAATTTCTTTTAAATAGCCATGGAAGAAACATGTGGTTGAATAATTAGAATATATTTTTTAATCTCTAGGTTCTATTCTAAACAAAGAAAGGTTATGGAAAGAAAAATGGGAGAAAGACTTGTTACCTAAAGATGCTGTGTTATTTCATTATATTTCATAATTGGAATATCATCAGCTACAACATAGTTATCAGTTCGTTGTCATCTGATGATAACAGATTACAAGGCTATAGTTTAAGAAGGCAATTGCTGCCAATGTTCTTCCATGTCTATATAAGTTCAAAGGCTACTTTTAAAGTAATAAAAGGTTGTTGTGCAATGTACATACTTTCTTAATGCTATAGTATTATATGCTTGGGTATATATAATTGTCAATGTTGGTTTTAAAGATATCAAACTACAGGATTCTGCTATTCTAGAATAAGTAAAGTAGCAAACAGACTTAATTTTGTGAAATCATCTCAAAAAACTGGGTAGGAGAGTGACAAATCTTTATGCCCAAGAATTGTGGACAAAAACTAATTCCAACTTTATAACATGAGTATATTTAAGTTGCAGTATACCGAGGATTTCCTCCTAAATAATATTTTGTAAATTGGGGAAATTGTTGAAAACAAAGGAATTAGAAGCGCGATTTTTGGTAAATATATTATTTAACCACGTTCTGTCTACCACAATAAAAAATGACTCGACTACTTAAAAGGAAAAGATACAGATTAAAATATATGTGGTAAAAAAGTAAAGACTGACAATAGGGGAAATTTTGTATGTATATGTGTGTATATATAAACACAAATATACATACATTCATGCAAGTGTGTCAAATTCAAGTATTTATATGTGGTGGGGACGAGTTTACCCAGATTGGTTTCAGTGGGACCTGACAACGCTAAGTGGACGATGTAGGCATTGTGTTGATTTTTAATTTGTGTTCACAGTTCATTTTCTATCTGTTCTATTTTGGAGGGAGCAGTTCTCTTTAAGAACGTCTTCCTTTGGGGTAAATTTTGTATGCTTATCTTGCTGAACTGACTGTGATAAAGAAGATAAATGCAGAGAGACCTGTTAGGAAGATAGTTGTGGGGACAAACATATGACCC